CTCTCATCTAGGAAGCCACTTCCTGCCCCTCATCTTCTATTAACACTTTATTTTTCTTGTACATAAAACTCTTTCCAAAAACCAGTGAAGGAACAAAATAGGAGAAACAAGGAATTTACCCCTACTCACACCTTGGAAGAGGGTAGGAAAATTGGGGCTTTTCCCTTGGTAGGCAGGTGATGGTCTCAAATAGATCTAGGCCCAGAGGCAATGATCCCTTTCCCTTGCCTCCTGGATCCAGTGGAGAGTGATGGAATGAGAACTGGCACCTACCCAGGAGCATGATGTCACACTCACAACCAGTGTCTACTTGCTGGGCTCTGTGCCCAGCCTGGCTTTGGGGCACCACTGTCCAGCAGCCTCTTACCCAGTCCCATCAGGGCTCTGAGCATTATGTGTTTACAGACCTTCAGCTCCCAAGTCCAAGGAGAGGGGAACCAGAGTGCTATACCATTCAGGTCAACAAGATATATCCAGGAAGTCTCCTAGAGGCTGCAGTCAATTTGAGAGCTTGGGTTCTGGGTTGGATGAGAAATTTGAATGTTTGAGTCTGTCCCATTGAAGACTTACTTGGACCAGAAATGCAACCTTTACTCGAATTAAATCAAAGGCAATCAGTAACTCTGATCCTCTGTGAGCAGAAGACAAACTTCTGGATACTGTTCATCTGAAATGAACAGACCTGGGTGGAGCTACAGAGCTCTACCCCATCTCCTCAATCCTGTTGATACTGTGTCACCTGGTACTACCTCAGGCTTGATGGGTATAGTATGAGGCCTAGAATCTGTTAGGTTTGGGCTAGAGGCTACTTAGGCCACACTCACCTGCAGCAGCCTCTTTCTCTTAACATCACAGGTGCTGTAAAGGAAATAACAGACACCATACTGTGGCTGTCTTGAGAGTCTGTGATTCTCACTTCCCCAGTGGAAGTTTTCCAAGTACCCTAAGCAAGCTGAGGCACATCCCATATAATGGACAAGTGGCACATCCCATATAATGGACATACATTAACCAAAAGGGCAAATCTTTTCCCATTCTCTGCTGCCCAAGAATCAGACAGTCTGACTGCAAACACATATTATGGGCTACTCATGGCATGGGACTTCTCCCCCACCCAAAAACCTAGAAAAGGGAACCCCCTTAGTCTCATAGATGCACAGTCCATCTTTTCCAGTGACTGAAGGCGTCCAGAGCTGTGGTATCAGGAACTTGGTTTTCATTCTAGCTCTGCCTTCATCTTTTGTGACTATTAATAAGTTTTTGTTTTGTTTTGTTTTGTTTTGCTTTGTTTTTATGAGACAGGGTCTCACTGTGTATACCTGGCTAGCCTGGAACTCACTGAGATCTGTCTGTCTCTACCTCCCAAGTACCAGGATTAAAGCTGACATCATTGCCCAGCTGTTTTGGAGTGTTTGTTTGTTTGTTTGTTTGTTTGTTTTTGAGGTAGGATCTCACTACGAAGCTCTAGTTGGCCTATACTCAACAACATAGACCATATTTGCCTTGAATTTATAGCAATCTTGCCTCTGCCTCCTAAGGATTGAGGTTACGGGCATGTGCCACCATGCCTGCCTAGGAAGCATCTTTGATATGTAGGCCCTTTGAGATGTTACTTGGATAGGAGCCTCTGGTGGTAGCCCATGGCCTCTGAGCTTGCCCCTGCTTATGCTGAGAATGCTCTGACCTTGCTCCCTGGCCTTGAGTTGATCCAAACTCTCCTCTCTACTAGGTTACTTTAAAGACTTTTCTTCTTGTTAGATTGGTATATGGCTATTAAATATTAGAGTCCATTGAAAACTATCAGCATCTGATCAAAGTGGACAGTGATACTGTCCATTCCTTTGTTTGCCAAGTGCCTTCATCCTTCTCAGGGTGACCCTCCCTTTTATGCATGGCTACAATGGCCCCTTTCCTCCCTGAGTACATAACTGATGTGTGAGGCCAGAGGAAATAAGTGCTAATTTCTTGGGTTCCCTGTGATCTTAACACTTTGAACTTGGCATGTGGTTCTTCATATTAAAACCAGGCTTCTTCATGCCCTTCCTCCAAGAAGTCCTGTTTGAGGCTGTCCATTTGATAATTTTCTTTTGATTATTTTCTGGGCATCTGCCAGGGACTTGGTTAGATGTTGTGGGGAATAACAGAACAAAAGTATCTAGGTTTCATCTCTTGCTCTCCAGAAGTTCAAACCTTGCCCTTGAGGAGACCATGTCTGTTTTGGGGAGACCTACTTTGGGAGTTTGAGGAGAAATGAAGTAGTACTGACTTGATGGGATGCTGGGGGAAGGGAAGAGCTACTCAATGGCCAGCTGCCCAGGTCACCTAGGGATGCCCGGCACCAGCTTTAGCTCCTAGCTTTCCCCAGCTGCCTCTGACTAGGCTGCTCTGGGGAAGCTCTGTCCAGAGGGTATGGGGGAAGAGCAGCGCTGTGTGTGCAGCTAGCATGGACGTCAGAGCGAGCTCCAGGCTAAGGAACGAGGTTGAAGGATGTGTTTGCCCAGTTCTAATTGAGGGCATAGGGACAGCAGTGGCTTCAAGGCTAGTGGGGACTCTCATTACTCAGTGAGATAGATAGATGAGCTGGAGATCATGTCATTCCTAAGCGGCCCTATGAGCATTTGCTAGAAACCATCATGTCACATTGATAGATTGAGGGCTATGTAAATAGTTTTCAGTTTTGTCTGGGCTTCTAGGTGGGTTTCTGAATGGGGCTGCTTGGTGTTGACTACAAAGTTAGGGAGGGGAAGCGGATGCAGAGGCCTGAGGGCAAATGGCTCTAATCTGATTGCTAACTCAAGGGTGTGAGAAAGAGTCTAGGTTTGTCTTCTCCAGATAGTAGTTGACAAGGACTCTTCGTTGTGGGGACTCTTACTATCTCAACAAGCCATCTTCCTGTCTGGGACTATTTGAACACTCATTATTTCGAAAAAGAGTTATCCATGCTGTTTTCTTTTCTTTTTCTTTTTTTCCTGGAACTCACTATGTAGACCAAGCTAGCCTTGAACTCACAGAGATCCGCCTGCCTCTGCCTCCCAAGTGCTGGGATTGAAAATGTGAGCCACCATGCCTGGCCATCCATGCTGTTTTCTAAAATAAAAACCCCAAGACCAAAGAGAAGGACATTGACCAGAGTCTTGAATTGGGCTGGAGGAAAAGAAACAACATCCTTTACTGTTTTTCACATGATCTTTTTTTTTTTTTTCCTCAAAATCATCTATTTACTGTATAGGAACCTTAAAATTTCAATATGGAGCTTACAACATTGACCAAAGACTTTCTTCTTTACTATCCAAAATATGACCTAGCAATCAGAAATAAAAAATTTGATTTATTTAGGGGTCTTCTTCACCCTCCTCCCTCCTTTCTTCATGGTTGGTTTCTCTTTTATTTTTATTATTTTATTTATTAAAAAATATTTATTACTTTTATTATTTTATGTGTATGAGTGTATTGCCTGCATGTATGTGAGTGCACCCATGTTGTGCAGTGCCGTGGAGGTCAGAAGAGGACTTCGGATTCCCCTGGAACTGGAGTTAAGGACGCTTTGTAGCTGTCATGTGGGTGCTTAGAATTGAACCTGGGTCCTCTGTAAGAGCAGTCAGTGCTCTCAACTGCTGAGCCATCTCTCCAGCCCTTATTATTTATTTATTTATTTGTTTGTTTGTTTCTCTTTTTGAGACAGGGTCTCTCTGTAGCCCCAGCTGGCCTGGAACTCACTCTGTAGACCAGGATGACCTTGAACTCACAGAGATCCACATGCCTTTGCCTCCTGTGTCCTGGGATTAAAGAGGTGTGCCACCGTGCTTGGCTTATTTTATTTTTTAAAGGTTTATTATTTTTATTTATGTGTATGTGTATCTGCCATGTGTGTGCAGGTGCCCACAGAAGCCAGAAGAGAGCATCAGATCCCCTGAAGCTGAAGTTACAGGCTGTTATGAGCAGTCTGACATGGGTGCTGAGAACTGAACTTGGGGCCTCTGGAAGAGCAGCAAGCTCTCTTAACCACTGAGCCATCTCTCTAGTCCCAATTTTATTTTATTAAAAAAGCACATCCTTTTAAATTTATTTTTATGTGTGTGCACCTGCCTAGTTTTGTGCCCCATGCTTGCAGTGCCCACAGAGGCCAGAAGAGGGCATAGGTTCCCCTGGAACTGGAGTTACAGACCACCATATGAATGTTGGGAACCAGATCCTCTGGCAGAGCAGCAAGTACTCTTAACTGCTGAGCCATCTCTCCAGGCCCTTTTTGATTTTTTTTTTTTTTTTTTTTTTTGAGACAGGTTTTCTCTGTAGCCCCAGCTGTCCTGGAACTCACTATGTAGACCAGGCTGGCCTCAAACTCAAAAAGATCCACCTGCCTCTGCCTCCCAAGTGCTGGGATTAAAGGCCTGTGCCACCATGCCCAGCCCTTTTTGAGTTTTAAAAAGTTTATTTATACTTTTTATGTTTGAATGCTTGCCTACATGCATTTATGTGTACCATGTGCATGCCTGGTAGTTACAGAGGCCAGAAGAGGGTGTCAGTCAGATTCCTTGAAACTGGATCACAGGCAGTTGTGTGAGCCACCATGTAGGGGCCTGGGAACCAAACCCAGGTTCTTTACAAGAGCAGCAAGTGCTCTTAACCACTTAGCCATCTCTCCAGCCCTTGTTTTTGTTTTTTGTTTTAATTTTTGAGGCATGGTCTCACTATGTAGCCCTTGCTGGCCTGGGATTCCCTGTATAGCCCAGGCTGGCCTCAGACTCACAGTAATCTTCCTGCCTCTTCCTCCCAAGTTCTGTGATTCCAAGCATGCACTACCATATAACCCCTCATCCTGGTTTCTGATAGGATACATGTGAGATGTTGACCATCCTTGAGGGGCAGAGGGCTTCAAGGTAGCAGGAAGGGGCTGCTTATTTCCAGAAAGAAGCCCTGGGGCTCAGAGTGCCAGAGCCTCATTTGGTCAGCAGACTTACCTTTTGGGAGATGTCCTTACAACACTTGTGTACCCTGCGCAGGCTCCCTGATGGGCCTAGGTGACATTATCTCACAGCAACTGGTGGAGAGGCGGGGTCTTCAGGAACACCAGGCAGGCCGGACCCTGACAATGGTATCTCTGGGATGTGGCTTTGTGGTAAGTTCTGCTTGAGTGGAGTGCAGTGCTTTGGGCAGTGGAGGTCATTTTCTGCTGTAGTTGCCATTGGCCTCTCCCACTGAGGCCAGCCTGAGCCGGCTTTTTTAGGCTCTGTTTTCCTCAGGATTTGGCTTCTGACACCTAGGGGAGAAGCCTTGTGTTATAAAATCCAAGTCCCTGTCACTACACCCTGCTGCCCTATCTTTTACTTTCAGGGCCCTGTAGTAGGAGGCTGGTACAAGGTTTTAGACCGGTTCATCCCTGGTACCACCAAGGTGGATGCACTAAAGAAGATGTTGTTGGATCAGGTGAGCTAAGGACAAGGGAGTTGGGAAGGGCGAGCCTGGTTGGAGACAGAGTAGGGTACTCAAGAGCTTTCATTAATTTCTCTTCTCTAGGGGGCCTTTGCGCCATGTTTTCTAGGCTGCTTCCTCCCACTGGTAGGAATACTCAATGGACTGTCAGCCCAGGACAACTGGGCCAAACTGAAGCGGGTATGTGTCTTAACTGGCAGGCTGGAAGGTTTAAGAGAAGAAGGCAAGCACAAGTGACATGCAAGGAGAGCCCCAGGATGGGGAGGGAAGGTGCCAAGGGGAGTGTAGGGCAGGAGTGTCCTCTTAGAGCTAAAGTCCACATGTGATACTCATGCAGGGATGTGGCAATTGCTAGGATATATGAGTATTAATTGTTCCTTCTCTGTCTCTGCAGGACTATCCTGATGCTCTCATCACCAACTATTATGTAAGAGTTAACCCCTCAACTGCCTGTCTCCTTCAGTCCAGAAATGCCCTGAATTGAGGCCCTCCTGGCATAGGACTCCCTCTGTTAGGATCACTCTTTCATTCCACACGTGGGCATTGTGCTCAGGGAAGCGCTCACTTCAGCCTTTTCTTGTGTGTAGAAGTTGAGGTGGGGCCAGGCAAAGCAGAGAGTCTAGGGATTGGGTGAGGGAGGCAGCCATTGACTTTCACCTTCTCTTTTTGTAGCTCTGGCCTGCTGTGCAGTTAGCCAACTTCTACCTGGTCCCCCTTCATTACAGGTATGACTCATTCATACTCCACCCTTACAAGAAGATCCACATTTCCCATAGAGATAAAATGATCCTCATTTCATCTTCACCTGCTTTAGACCCTCAGCCAGCACACTCTGCCCTGATGAAAGCTCCTCAGATTCAGGCATTTCATTCAGAACCTTTGGACTTTTATAGAGACCATCCTAAAGTGTCCCTGACTGACTGCTATCTCCCTTGGAAGGATCCTTCGACAACCCTTGTCTCCTTCCCACCTGGGCTCTACACATTTGGGAGTTTATCTGCAGAGACAGGGCTGGGCTGGGCTGCACTCACAGCCTAGGTTAGCCAGAAAGGTAGACTTGGAGGCCAAGTAGGAGCCTTATCAGGTTAGTTATCAGGCTCATTATTATGTCCTGGTAAGAAAGGTTGTTGTTGGGGCTGGAAAGATGGCTCAGTGGTTAAGAGCACTGACTGCGCTTGCAGAGGACCCGTGTTTGACTCCCAACACCCACCTGGCAGCTACAAACTGTCCTTAACTCCAGTTCCAGGGGAATCTGAAGCCCTCTTCTGACCTCTGTGGCATTGCATGACATGGGTGCACTCACATACATGCAGGCAATACACTCATACACATAAAATTTTAAAAAATAATAAAATATTTTTTAAAAATTAAAAAAAGAAAGGTGGTTGCTTGACTGCAATTTTTAAAAAAATAGAGTTGGATGTGGTGCTATTGTCCTTTAATCCTAATATCTGGGAGGCAGAGACAGGCAGATCTCTGAGTTTGAGGCCCTCCTGGTTTACATAATGAGTTCCAGGCTAGCCAGGGCTATTTATGTATTGAGTCCTTGTAAAAAAAAAAAAAAAAAAAAGTAGGGTGCACTACTTTAATCCCAGCACTCAGGAGGCAGAGGCAGGTCGAGCTACGTGAGTTCAAGGCCAGCCTGGTCTACATAGTGAGTTCCATGACAGCTGGACCTACAGGGAGACCATGTCTCAAAGAGACCAAGGAGGGGGGGGATTCAAGAGGACTGGAAAAATGCTCACAGATAAGGGATCTTGAGATCAGGGGAAAATGATGAGACTTTTGAGAGATGACATGGTTGAAGTTTATACAAATAGCACACCTGAAAAGAATGCTGAGTTACGAACCCAATCTTAAACATCAGGCTTCTTTGAAGCACTCTTTCAAACTAAAGCAAGGTTAATTTAAAATAAATAAGAGGCTGGGCATGGTGGTACATGCCTTTAGTCCCGGCACTTGGGAGGCAGAGGCAGGTAGATCTTTGTGAGTTCAAGGCCAGCCTGGTCTACATAGTGAGTTCAGGTCAGCTGGGACTACAGGGAGACCCTGTCTGAAAAAGACAAATAAATAAATAAAATAAGTAAGATAGGCCTGCAATGGAAGGGCATGCTTGGAATCCCAGCACATGGGAGGTAAAGGCAAGGAGCTTCAAGAGGCTTTTTATGTGATAAACAGTATATTTTTGGAAAATGAAATCTTGGCTGATAGAAGATGGACAGATACATTTAGAAAGGCCTAGAGATATGGATGACAGACTTATTTGTTGGAAGAGAGCTCCTGGGGAACTAGCTCGGGGAAAGGGTCCTGACTGCCAAAGCTGATGATCTGAGTTTGATCCCTGGAACCTACGCCATGGTGGAAGGAGAAAGTCAACTCTAGAAAGTTGTCCTCTGACTTCTGTGTTCACTCATGCATGTGCACATACAATAAATTAATGATGAGAGAGAGAGAGAGAGAGAGAGAGAGAGAGAGAGAGAGAGAGAACAAGCTCTGAGATAGCAGAACTAAGCTGGCTGTCTTCTGCTCTGAGCCAAACAGTCCCTGCTCCATAGGGTTTGAAGGAAAAAGACCCAAATCTGGAAATTCTCAGAGTAAATCCTCCTCCATTGCACCCTCCATTCCCTGTCTCTACCCTTCTCCTCTTGACAATACTGTTCCTTTCCTTTAGGTTGGCCGTTGTCCAGTGTGTTGCTGTCATCTGGAACTCGTACCTATCCTGGAAAGCACACCAGCTCTAAGTCTGTCTTGCTCCACTGTGTTCACACATTGGAGTGATGCATCTTGACTCTGGAATGGACAGACAGCCTCTTCAAAGAGAGCACTTCAGGGGCTGGAGAGGAGGTTCAGCTGTTAAGAGTGCTCTTCCAGAGGATCTGAGTTCAGGTCACAGCACCCACATGGGGCAGCTCACAACCACCTGTAACTCCCAACTCTAAGGATTCTAATGCCTTCTGGCTTCCATGGGCACCTGCACTCACATGTACATACCTTCATACAAACATACACATCATTTCAAATAAAATTTTAAAAAAAAATTTAAAAAGAGTACATCAGTGTCTGTGGGGTAGGGCTGATCAGAGCTTAATGGAATTAGTGCTCTGAATTGTTACATTTCACTCTAAAATGTAACTTTTTGAAATCACTAAAATCTTTGTAGTATTGTCGCTCTGACACTTGGTGGGGTCATATTCTGAGATTTGTGTCCTTAGGCAATTTTATCATTGTGTGCATGTCACAGAGTGTAGTTAGACAAACGTAGATGTTTTAGATCATGTTGCTCAATATGGCTGTCTTGATGCAGTGAGATATAGTAAGCTCAGATGTGTCAGATGCTGCCAGTGTGACATGGCATACTGTTTCATAGGAAGTTTTTTTCATATGTAGAATATTCTAGAATAATGTAGTAAATTCATAAATCATAGCATTATCATGTATTATTAAGTTGCATATACTGTATGCAATTGCACATGCATTACTGGCGTGTTACTGTCAGCATAGTAGGTTTGTTTCTACCAGCATCACCCCAGACACATAAATAATGCATTGAATTAAGATGTTATTAGTCAGCTAATGTATCACTAGGTAATAGGAATTTTTCAGCTCTGTTATAATATGGAACCATCATCGTATATGTTGCCATCATTGACTAAAAGGTCATTATTATACAGCATAACTGTGATCTTATTCCTACCACAGAGAACACACTCCATAGATATCTGTTGAATCATATGACCTTCCAGCTTTACATCCATATCTGTTTGTTTGTTTGCTTTGTTTTGTTTGTTTTTGAGACAGGGCATCCCTGTTGCCCCAGCTGGCCTGGAACTCACTGTGTAGACCAGCCTGGCCTCAGTCTCACAGAGATCCACCTGTCTCTGTCTCCTGAGTGTTGGGATGGTGTGTGCCACCATGCCCAGCTACACTCATATCTGAAAAATTAACACTCATCTCCACTTTCCATAGACACATCTTCCTTGTTTGCAGTGTTCGGGATTGAACTCAGCCTTGTGCATGCTAGCGAAGTGCTCTACTACTGAGCTACATCCATAGCCTAAAACATCTGCTGTTCTAACTCTTCCCAGTCCTAATGAGCTTTGAGACTCTCTCAAGGTCTTTATGGCACAGCAATAGGTATGTTATTGAGTATGTAATCTGGACCTGCAGAGGTCATGAGTAAGACCCAGCAGAATGTCTATAGCAGGAAAGAAGTGAAGGCCCTTCAAGCCTGGCCTTTTTTTAAAAAATATTTTTTTATGTGTATGAGTGTAGTGCCTGCATGTAGGTAAGTGCACCCATGTTGTGCAATGCCAGCAGAGGACGGAAGAGGATGTGGATCCCCTGGAACTGTAGTTACAGACAGTTGTTAGCTGCCATGTGGGTGCTGGAAATCGAAGCCGGGTCCTCTGCAAGAACAGTCAGTGTTCTTAACCGCTGAGCCATCTCTCCAGCCCCAAGCCTGGCCTTTTAAAAAACAAAACAAAAGGTGGACATCTGTGGGAGTGAGGTACTTTGTCCACACCCTGAAATGGTTGCCAAGTAGGAACTTGGAATCCAAGTGTTCCCACTTCCTACCTAATGATCTTAACTTCTAGAAGGTCAAAGATGTAGTAATATTGTTTCTTTGATCCCCAGAAGAAAATTTGACCTTTGCTAAGGTGTCACGCAGAAACTTAGACAGAAACTCAGAAACAGACTGGCCTCTTAGGATCTGAAAGCCAGGGATCCTTTTATGTAGCACAGTCTGACACCTGTAGAATTTAGATTCAGTGATTGTAATAAGATCAAGAATCCTGGGAAACTAATTTCGGCAGAGGGTGTGGGGTGGGACTGCGTTGGGCGAGTGCCAGCGGTGCACTTCTGATCTGTTTGGGGACCCGAGTAATGGGCCTAATGGACTGGATCTAAACACAGGGTCTCCTACAGCTTCTAGCCGAGGATGGGATTCAGCACTACGGACAGCTCCAGAGTCCCACCTCCTTTCCCTCCCAGGCTAGAGGGAAACCAGGGACAAACTGGACTGGTCTAGGGCACTCCCTGGTCACTGTTGCTAGTTCTGAGAGGGGGAGGGACTCTGCATCCCAGGGAAATATTTATGGCGCAGCTGGCTTCTCTCTTACATCCAGTGCTGCTCCCAAAGGGACACAAAGCCTAGTGTCAGGAGGCGCGTCCCTCCCGGGGCGCGACACTGCTGGACTGGAAGCTGTGGCTGTCATTGCTTCTACACTCGGTTCATGTTCTTCGCTGACGTCAGTCGGAGCTGTCCTGGTGCTATATAAAGCTGGCGGCGGTCCCGGGACAGACCCCGTGCTCCCCAAGGCGTCTTTGGCCGGCCCCGGGGGACAGAGACTGGAGCTCCGTCTTCCTCAGGGCAGACACTCTCCTACAACCTGTGAGTGGCTCGGAGTAACAGTCCATACTCGCTTAGCACCAAGACTCCGCTCTCAGCCCACCCACTGAGACCTGCCCGGAGGGAAGGAGGGAGAGGGGAGGAACTGGACTGGCACGGCAGGTGGGACTGGTGGGCAGGTTGTGGGCCCTGGGCAGTAGCTAGAGGGTCCTGGCAGGAGCGCAGGGCGTGTGCGGGAAGGGGCTCATACCACCTGCGCTGCTCCAAGCGCACCTCGCTGCCCCTGTGTGTTCAGGGCAGGCGGCACCATGAGGCAGAGCGGACGAGCTGCGCTTCTGGTGGCGCTGCTGCTCCTGGCACAGCTGCGCCCGGGGAGCAGCCACTGGAGCCCGGCGGCAGCGGCGGCGGCGGCGGCGTCCGGGGTCCAGGATCCGAATCTGCGCTGGAGCCCTAGGACGCGGAATCAGGGCGACGGGGCCCGCGCGCTCCTCTTGCTGTTAGCGGAGCGCTTCCCGCGCCACTCGGGATCCGGGACGGCAGGGGAGCGGCCGCGACGGGACGACCCTCCACTGTCCATTGACCTCACCTTCCACCTGCTGCGAACTCTGCTGGAGTTGGCGCGGACACAGAGCCAGCGCGAGCGCGCAGAGCAGAACCGCATCATACTCGACTCTGTGGGCAAGTGACCGGCCCCGTGTGGGACCACTTGACCCTTTCTCCTACCCTGGGGCTGGAGCGTGCGTGACCGGAACTGGCTCAGTCCCGCGGTGCAGCACCTACCAGAGACACCCTGAGCATTCTGCGTGGCTATTTTTTTTTAATAAAACTGCTCAAGAGCTTATATCTTCTGTGGTGGGGATAACAACAGTAGGGAGGGGACGTATAGGAGAGTGGGGCAGGAGAGACCCAGATAGATGCTAAGCGGGGTCGGAGAGAAAGGCTTTCAGCCAGGTCCCGGGGGTCTCATCGCTCCTCCCCTTGTGTACCCAAATCCAGGAACTCAGAGGTCTCAGCACCGCGACCCCACCCTCGACACCTTTCCGGGGGCCCGGGGCTCACGAGTCCATCCCTGGCATAAAGGAGGTGCCCCCAGGGCTTCATGTCGCCTCCGCCCCCTCAAATGGTCTCATCTTGAGAAAAGGCCCAGGGATGGAGAGGTTGCTTCTACAGCTGAGACTAGAGGGAGCGGGTAGCGAAAGGAAAGGCGGGCCTGGGTCACAAGAGTCCTTTATTGAGACCGTCCCTCGGGCGGGATGTCCGGCTGCAGGGCTCTGCGATCTCTGCGCAGATCCTCAACCAGCCTTGCGCCAGGCTCCGGGCGCGCGGGCTCCGGATCCGGGGTCGGGTCAGTGCAGGCCTGTGCACGGGAAAGAAAGCTCGGTGGGCGGGTGTCCAAAGGAACAAGGCAGCGGGGAAACCCAGCTCATTGCCTTTCTCTGACCACCTAGATTTCTCCCCTGCTTGAAGACCCAGTACGCTCCCCAAAGCGGGGGTGGGGTAGGGTGGCGGTGTAAAGAACGGTGGGAAAGACTGTGTTTTTACGCGCGCTAGGGGGCGCTCTTTTGTGGCCCCAGGAGGGTTGAGTGGCACTTAAACCGAGTAGGGGGTGTGCGTTAGTCCTGGCGCAGCAATTGCCCAAGGGTCATGAGCGTGTTAGCGAGTCCACACCCCAAGCCTCTCGGCCACTCACCTTCTGGCCCGTCCAGCCGCTCTTCCTCCAGCCCTGCGTTGCCCTCTTCCGCGTCCAAAGCCACCTCCTCATCCTCTTCATCCCCCGCAGCGCCTGGGTGGAAAGAAGGCCGGGTAATGTGGAGTCCACCTCATACCCCCTCGGAAGGTCTAAACGGTCTCTCCCTCGCCCCCTCACCCGGCTGGAAGTCTATGGTTCGCAGCATTTCCGCCACGTGCTCCAAGCTCACTGAGAACTGCTCCATGCTCTCGTAGCCAGGCTCTGGCCGTCCTGCCAGCTCCACCTTCGACATTGCCCCGACCCTACGAGGGTCACAGCGGCTCAGTAGGGAACTCCTCGGCGCCCCCAAACCCCTCCCGGAGCCAGAAGGAAAGAATCCTCAAGGTTCCTCCCTTTCCCTTCCCGCGCGGGGTCTACTCACTTATTGATGAGCTCCTTGGCCTGCTGCAGGGAAGAAAAGGAGAGCGAGAGTGAGCGCTGGGCCAGCCCCGGCAAAGCCCCATTTCTGATTCTCACCAATCCTGCCAGGTGGGTAGGGGTGCATATCCCAAGACATTAGGGAGAGAGAGAGCGCAGAGAGGGGGTGACTTCCCAGGTTATGGTGTCAAGAAGGTAGAAGATGTAAGACTCGAACTCGCTCTCCAGGTGCGCAGGCTGCCCTCCTGCCGCCCTCCCTCCCTGCCCACCTGGAGGTAAAGCGCCATCTGCGGCTCCTCCATGGACTGGATGGCGGACTCCACCAGCTTAGAGGAGGCTTCTAGGTGGTCTCCATACTGACGGATGAGGCCGCGCACCCGCTGCAGCTTCTCTTCCTGCTCCCGGGCCAGGGCTTGCAGCAGCTCGCCTTTGCGCTCCTCCAGCACCGCACATAGGGCCTCGAACCTCTGGTTTAACAGCTGCTTCTGCCTGCGGCTGTTGTCCTGAAAGACCAGCACAAGTCTGAGGGAAGTCGAGGGCTTACTGAGAGCCGAGAAGGAGAGTGACCTAGGGTCACGGTGAGTTAGGGGCAGTCTGAATCCCACACAGATCTTTCCAGTAACAATAATGGCGACATGGCATGTCCAAGCAGCTTCAACGGCTGGGAGACATGTATGTCCCTCACCCTGGCTTTGCATTAATTTCCACTTAATTCTCAAGAACATAAAACGAGGTAGCTACTACATCGCTATCAGCATCATTTAGTTATTTTTGAGTTTTATATGTCTAATTTTTTCTGACACAAAATTAAGCCTTATTTCAAAATAAATTGATTTGAAATGTGGTGTCAATATTCAAATATATTTAGTGAACTATAATAAGGGCATTATTTTTTAATATTTTATTTATTATTTTTATTTTATGTGTATGCCTGCATGTAGGTAAGTGCACCCATGTCATGCAATGCCCGTGGAGGTCAGAGGAGGCTGTTGGATCCCCTGGAACTGGAGTTATGGACAGTTGTTAGCTGCCATGTGGGTGCTGGTATTCAAACCTGGGTCTTCTGCAAGAACAGCCAATGTTCTTAACTGCTAAGCCATCTCTCCAGCCCCAGGGCATTATTTTTTATATTATTTTAGTTTTATGAGTATGAGTATATTGCCTGCATGTACATAAGTGTACCCGTGTCCTGTACAAGGAGCTCAGAAGAGGGCTTCGGATCCCCTGGAAGTGGAGTTACAGCCATGTGGGTGTTGGGAATCGAACCCAGGTCCTCTGCAAGAGCAGCCAGTGCCCTTAACAGCTGAGCCATCTCTCCAGCCCCTAATAAGGGGCTCACATAAATGTATTCTGTGGCAATTTCATGCATATATATATAGTATAGTCTGATTACTCTCACCGCTATTTTCTTTTATCTCCCTTTCACCTCTATCAACCCCACTCTTTGCTACAATCTCTTTCTCACATTTATGTCTTTTTGGTTTCCTTATTTATTTATTTATTTATTTATTTATTTATTTTTGAGACAGAGTCTCACTATACAGGTCAAGTGGACCTTGAATGAGAAATCCTCCTGCCTCAGCCTTCAGAGTGCTGGGATTACAGGTGTGAGCTATGACATCCTCTTTGTTTGTTTGTTTGTTTGTTTGTTTATAGACTGGGTCTCAATAAATCGCCTATAAACTGGGCATGGTGGCACAGGACTTTAATCCCAGCACTAGGGAGACAGAGGCAGGCAAATCTCTGTGAGACTGAGGCCAGCCTGGTCAGTGAGTTCTAGGCCAGCTGGGGCTACAGGGAGACCCAGTCTCAAATAAAAACAAAAAAAAAAACCCAACAACAACAAAACAAAAAACAAAAAAACAAAAAACAAGGGGCTGGAGAGATGGCTCAGCTGTTAAGAGCACTACCGGCTCTTACAGAAGACCAGGGTTCAATTCCTTGCATCCACAAGGCAGCTAACAGCCAGCTGTAAGTCCAATTCCAAGAGACCTGACACCCTCTTCTGACCTCCATGAGCATTGCATGACATGAGTGCACTTACATACATGCAGGCAATGCACTCATACATATAAAATAGAACATAAATAATAAGTAAATTTAAAAAAAGAACACAAAAACAAAAACAAGTTGCCTGTGCTAGCTATAACTTGAGATCATTCTGCCACTATCTCTCTGGCCATTACTGTTTTATACAGTTAAAAGGGGAGTGGAGAAGCTAGAGAGATGGCTCAGTGGTTAAGAGCACTTGCTGCTCTTCCAGAGGACCCAGGCTCAGTTCCTGGCACCCACATGGCAACTAACATACATCCTTAACTTCAGTTCTAGGACATCTGATACCCTTTTCTGGCATCCTCAGGCACCAGGCACACACAGTGATGCACTTATATTCAGGCAAAACACTCATACACATGAAATTTAAAACATTTTTAAAATAATGAAAACAAAAGCACAGGGTAGTTAAATAACTTGACCAAAGTCACAGAGCCAATGAGCAGCAAAGCTGGGATTCAAACCTAGCAGCCTGGCTAAATACACTTCCAAGAGCCTAGAAGCTATCTGGCCAGAGGTCAGAGAGGAACAGTTAGTTCTCTTTGGAACTCAGGGTCTCCAGACCAACCAGTCTGTCCCCTCTGTCCTGGAAGCCCAGACTCACCTCAATAGTCTGGCACACCTCCTCCATCTGTGTGATCACTGCTTGTACCCGGTCATTGCCTGCCACCAGCATTGCGATGCCATCACTCAGCTCACTCTGTCACACACATGGACCAGCTCTTAGAATTGGAAGCACCCCTCTCATCCCACCAGTCTTACCTTGTCCCCTTCCCTTATTTGGGGCATCTACAGAAATCTAAAAGGCTTGGGATAATTCAAGAAATATGGGATTATGTTCTGTGGAGTCTAGGAGACTTGCACTCTCAATGTGAAAGGAGTAGACATTCTCTAAACAGCCATAATGTGTCAGACTCTAGAACAGATGCTTTATCAGTGGAGTCATGTCTTCCATCAGTTCTGAAAAAGTCTTAGTGATACCCAATCAGATAACGCTGTCTCCTCTCTACCCCTCATCTTCTCATTCTGGGAGTCTAATAACGCTTATATTAGAACACACGCTCAACCTTTCACTTCAAATGTTGTTGCTTTCTGGCTTTTTTGTTTGCTTTGTAGTCCTTTTGTGTTCAATAATTCCTCCCTTCTGAGAAATCTATCACTTGGTTTATCCACTAATTGTTTTCAATAATTAATATTTTCTAAAAGCTCTACTTGGTTGTTTGTCAAATCTGCTTGTTTTCTGTTTGGTTTGCTTTAGGTTTTCTTGGATTAGGCCTTTCTATATTGTCTAAATTGGCCTTGAACTTGTTATTTTCCTGTCTCACCCTTGCTAGTAGCTGAGAACACAGATGTACACCTCCACAATGGGCTACTGGCTATTGCATGGTATTTTATATTATGTTTTTCCAATTCTGGGAATCTACTCAGGGTCTTGTGCTAGGCAAATGTTCTATATTTTCATTCCTGCTTTTATTTTTGTTGTTTTCTTTCATTTTTTTTCTTTAAAGCAGGATCTCCTTATGTAGTCCAGGCTGGCTTGGAACTCCCTATGTAGCCCAGACTGGCCTCATACTAAAGATCCTCTTGCCTCAGCATCCTGAGTGCTGGAATTGCAGGCATGTGCCACAATGCCTGCCATTATTCCATCTTCTGAAAAGCATTTTATACTGAGTGAGTTTCTGTTCTTCAATAATTCAAACATCTGAATTCCCAAGGCCCTCAACTGTAATTGCTTCTACTAAGTCCACTTGTGGATACATTCCTTTGTGTATCTTCAGTTGCTAATGAATGCTTTGTTGATCTTAATCTAAGGAAGTTGAAGGGACTAACTAAACCGAGTAGATTTCCCTCTGGCCAGAATTTGCTTTTGTTTCTGTCAAAAGTTGGGTCATAGCTGGGCATGATGGCTCACACTTTAATCCTAGTACTCTGGTGGCAGAGGCAGGGGGATCTCTATGAGTCCAAGGCAAGCCTGATCTACATAGTGAGACCCTGTCTCAAACAAACAAACAAAGTCAGGTGATACAACTGACTGCTTTAAAATCCTGGAATTCCAATTTAACCTGGGGTCTTAGGAGTCTTAGATGCATCCCCACCCACCCACATCTTGTGGGTTTTGTGGCATAACTCCTCTCTCTAGCTCGGTGATATTGTCTGGGAAATGATATGCCTATCTTATGTTTTCATTGTCTGGGAAATGATATATTCTGTTTTCAGTGTCTCGCTGCCCCTGTCCCTCTTGCCCCACCCCACCTTGGAGATTCCTTTTACTTTTCATGTGCCAACTAATCTAATTTTTAAATTATGGTGTACGCAGAATCTAGTTGTGTAAGATTATAGACCCTTGAGAGTATCTAGAAGTTGCTGCTGTTATGCATTATCTGGTGCTAAGTTGTAAGCAACCATCATTTCACCTGTTTTACAAGTGAGGGAAGTGAAAACCAGAGAGGTTAAATAACTTCTTTAAGGTTGTTCAGAGTCATGTAGAGCTGCGACTTCAACTCCGATCTGCTAGAGCTTAACCAAGTGGAGTAAATGATTAGCCCTGTCCTAAACCCCATTCCAGTTTCCCTCCCTGGCTCAGTACCTTCTGGCGTTTGTAAATGGTGGGCAGCGGGGCCACCTCACAGTCCTTGTGGGCTCCAAAGACCTTGCAGAGGGAGCAGGTGGGCACTTCACAGCTCAGACAGTAGATGTTGATCTTCTCATCCTCGTGTTCCTCACACATGAGGTGCTGCTCAGCCTTGGAGTGCAATGGCCTGAGGGGCATAGGCAGGGTAGCAGTGAGACTCCAGGATCCAGGGGCCAGGCCCTGGGGGAAGGTGAGCCTGAGTTTGTACCCTCTCTTCAGTGTCTACCAACCACCACCACTTTCTCCATCTGTAGCTGGTGCTGTGATGAATGGTGAGCAACTTCCACAGTGTTCTTAATTTTGGGAAGGAAAGGGGGTCAGAGGAGGCCTAGACCCAAGAAGTCTATTCCAAGGGACAAGAGCATCCCACAGGACAAGAAGTCATGGGGGCAGATAAGGTCAAGGACATTGATAGGGACTGTAGTCCCAGACCAGGAGAGAGTGAGGTTGAACACTGGCCCAGAGACTGAGTTGGGCCTCCCTGGGTGACCCAGGTCAAGTCCTTCCCCTCCAGGTCCCCTGCTTTTCTAGCCCTGGCCCTGATGCCATAGACCCTTCTTCCCTCTGGAGAGGCAGGCAGCCTGGCAGCTCACCGGGAGGACTCCTGCTTGTAGATGTCAATAATGTTCTCCACCAGTAGGTTCCGTTGCAGGCCGTAGACCCCATGTCGGTCTAGAACAACCTCATGCCTGCAAGACGGGCAGCGGAAACGGCCTCCTGAAGACACAGCTGTGGAGCCCCGGGATTGCCACAGAGGGTTAGAGGCCTGTGAGGACAGGTGATAAAACAGTAGAAGTATAATGAGGCATGAAGGAACTGGGAGAAAAGCAGTGGGCCAGGGACAAGGAGAAGTGAAGAGACCTTAGCACTTCTCTGCAGCTGGTGTCTCCAGACAGCAGCCTGACAAGTGGCTAAGCTGGCTTCCTCCTCTGCCTCAACCCTCAGCCCAGCTCCCTGAGGGCCCCTGAAGCAGAGCCTCATTTTGGCCAAGGCCTGATCATCATGGGACACCGAAGTGTAGAGCTTTGTCAGGAAAGCAGGCAGAAGATTGGTGGCACAGCCAGTGCCTCCCAGCCTGGACCCTCATGGGCCACATATGAGGTTTTCTTTCTTTTTTTTAGATAGGATCTCATATAGCCCAAGTTGGTCTCAAACTCTATATGTAATGGGAGTACGGATGACTGAAGTTCTGATCCTCCTACCTCTGTTTCCTAAGAGATTACAGATGTGTGCCCCACCCCATACCACATTTGAGGTTTTGTCTTTTTGAGACAGGGTCTCCTTACAGCCTCAGTTGGCTGAGCTCACTATGTAGACCAAGCTGGTCTTGAACTCACAGAGATCTACCTGCCTCTGCCTCCCAGTGCTGGGATTAAAGGTGTATGCCACCATGCCCAGTTCAGCCCTGGTTTTTAAATTTTTATTTATTTTTATTTTCTGTGTATGAGTGTTTTGCCTGCATGAATGTAACTGCACCATTTGCATGCAGTGTCTGCAGAAGTCAGAAGAAGGCACTGGATTTCATGGCACTGGAGTTACAGCTGGTTGTTAGCCATCATGTGGATGCTGGGAACTGAACCCAGGTCTTCTGCAAGAGCAGCCAGTGCTTTTAACTGCTGAGCCATTTCTCCAGCACCCTCCCCACCTCTTTTTTTTTTTCTGAGACAAGGTTTCATGTAATTCAGTCTGGCCTTAAATTCTCTAGGTAGACAAAACTGGTTTTGAACTCCTGATCTACCTGCTTCTGCCTCCCAATGCTGGGATTACATACTGGGCCATAGGAGAGATTCTTTCTAGTCCTGGGCAGAGGTGTACACACCAAGTGCTAAACAGTGAGGCAGAGAAACTATGACTAGGGGCTGGGGAATATGGCTCAGTTGGTAGAATGTTTACCTAAGTTTGATCCCCAGTACCACATAAACTGCCAGGTATGGTGGTATCCAACTGTAATCCCAGCACTTGGGAGGTAGAGGCAGGAGGATCTGATCCACAGGAAGTTCAAAGTTATGCTCAGCTACATAGGGAGTTTAAGCTAGCTTGGGATACATGAAGCCTGTCTAAAAAAGAAAAGAAAAGAAGAAGAAAAGGAAGCTACAAACTACCATTAGTTGGATAATTCTGAGAAATTGCTTTCAGCACTGGGGATGAGGAGTCCTAGCCTTTGCATAGTCCTTGGCATTTTCTTCTAGAAATCTGCCCAATATTCAGCCTCTGTAAAGTTAAGGACTACACTGGATTGTTCATTCTACATCTGATATTATTCCAAAGCTCTGAGCTAAAGACAGGAGCAAGATGTACCTTGCCCTTAAGAAAGACAACCCCAAGTAGTGGGGCAGTGGGAAGTGCTGTTATGAGAAAACTGAAACCATGGTTTAGCAGAGACATTTATACCAGTGTCTTAGAGATCTGCTCCAGCCCACCCAAAAGGGAGCACCTTGCTAGCTCCTGGCTAGAGTACACTGGCTCCCTCTGATGTGGTCGCCTGACCCTATACAATCAATCAATGCTCTGTCCCTGAATTTGGAATAAGAGGCAGAGGCTGAGCTAGCTACTGAAAAGCCCATGGAATTGAGGTAGGACTTGGTGTTGTGGCCATCCTAGAAACTGTATGGGAAGCTAGTCTACAGAGAGGAGAAAAGAATCTTGTGGGGACTGGTGAGATGGCTCAGTAAGGAAAAGTGCTTGCCACCAAACCTGACACCCTGAGTTTCAACACTTGGAAGTAGAGGACTGACTCTGACTTTCACACCTGTGCGGAGGTATACACAGGAACACAGGCACACAAGTACCCAGGTATCACCGCCCCCATTACATACATAAATGTAAAAAAAAGAAAAGAAAGAATCATTTGGGGAGAGATGCAGAGAAGAAAAGACTGGCAGAGATTCCCCAGTTTTTCCTTCTTCAGTGACAGAATGCCTGTGTTTTAGCAAGGCCTGTGGTAAAAGATCACTCAGCCAAGCCGCCCTTCCAGTTAGGTGTGGCCAGGTGACTATATTCCAAATGCAAATACAAATGTTTTGTGAAGTTTTGTAGGGAGGATCCCTAATGGTATGGGCTGTGACCTGTCTCTCCTTTTTTCTGCTTTCTGCTCTTTGGAATGTAGATAGGATGGCTTAGGCTGAAGGAGCCCTCTGGGACTGTGAGGTCCTCCATACATACTGAGAATGGCAACAAGGTAAAAGGAGCAAGTCCTCCAGGAGACCGAGGACTGCCCACTCATACTTGTTCTTTGGAGAAAAGCTGATTTCTAATGATGGAATCAAACCAAGTCCCCCAGGCAAAAGAAAAATTGTACAAGGAAGTAAAATGAAAAATAATTCTAACTGCTGAGAAAGAGCTGACCTTTTCATGCACCTTGCACAAGCTGGAAATCACCCAAAAAATCCCCCCTCCCACTTCTGCTTTCTGGCTCAGTAGCCGCTTGTGGTTTGTGGTTTTTGCCTTTATAAGCAGCCTGTAAGCTGAGCTCGGGGCTTCTCCTTTCCGAGTGAGGCAGAGGCCCGTCTGCGCAGACGAAATAAGTCCTCTTGCTTGTTGCATCTCCTGGTTTGAGGACTGAGTTATTGGGGTGCGGCCTCCTGTGAATGTTGGGTACCCCAGACCGGGAGTCCAACACTGCCTTCCTCCAGTTATCGTTTGCTTTGTATTTTGTTTTATTTTATTTTATTTTAATTTTGTTTTATTTTGAGACAGGGTCTTCCTAGTAGCCCCAGCTAGCCTAGAGCTCCTTATGTAGGCCAGGCTGGCCTCGATCTCACAGAGATCTGTCTCCCAAGGTGTACCACCACACCTGACAAGCTATTATTAACTTGGAAGGTGGGGAACAATACCAGTGATCCAACCTAGGGCCATGTGCATACTAAGCAAGTGTTCTATCACTGAGCTTAAAGCCATAGTTGTTTTGGATTTTCTCCTATTTCTCCCTATTTTGGCAAAACTCTATCCTGACCAGCCAGAAGACCATGCACTTGTAGGGAGTAATGGAGACAACAGTCAACTTTGACTTTGTATATTTACAAGAATTTCCTACAGCTGCGTTTCATGGAACTCTGAATATTTATACACCAACTGGAAGAAAGGTTTGGAAGGACCTTTAGGTGGTGAGGCAATGCCCCATCACATACACAAAGTAGACAGAGTCTCCTTTCCTCTGGTGGTGGCAAGGTTCAAGGTTCATAGGCAACAAAGGAATCATGACCTTACTGTGAGGTGAGCAGTTTAGCTTGGGGAGAGTAGCTGGCCCATGTTATACTTACATACATTTAGGAGGGATGGGATCTTGAGAATCATAAGGCTGGAACAGATAGGTCTGAGATTATCCAGAACTGGGCTTGTACCTCAGCCTTTCTTAGACTTCCTCTTAGAATTTTATGAGAGCTGTTAAGTTCAGGAAGTGTGTTAAAGGGTGTGCAATCACAGATGTCAACTGAAATTCCCAGAAAAAAAGCCACATCTATATTAAGAATCTATAGGCCAATTAACTAGTTAGAACTTGCATGATTATACAAATCTGGAATGTGGCAGATCCTGAGCCAAATTATCTTGGCTATCTCTAGTTACTTTTTTTTTTTGAAACAGGGTCTCCCCATAGCCACAATTTGCCTGGAATTCTCTACATAGGCCAGGATGGCCTCAGTCTCATAGAGATCCACTTGCTTCTGCCTCCTGAGTGCTGGGATTAAAGGTGTGTGCTACCACACCTAGTTTAGTTATCTTTTGTTTGGTTTTTGTTTTTTCTTTTGTTGCTGTTGTTGTTGTTTTTTGACAAGATCTCCCTAGCCCAGAGCCTTCCTGGAAGTCACTATGAGGACCAGGCTGGCCTGGATCTCACAGAGATCCACCTGCCTCTGCCTCCCAAGTGCTGGGATTAAAGGCGTGGCCACCATGCCCAGCAGTTACCTTTTTTTAAAAAAAAAAACTTATTTTATGTGTATAAGCATTTCGCTTACATGTATCTAAATGTACCACATATGTACAACACACAAAGAGAGCAGAAGAAGGTGTCGGATCCCCTGGGACTGGAGTTATAGACAGTTGTTAGCTGCCATATGGGTGCTGGGAACTGAATCTGGGTCCTCTGTAAGAGCAGCCAGGGCTCTTAACTGCTGAGCCATCTCTCCAGCCACTTTAGTCATTTTTATGTGCTCACAATCAATCAATCAATCAATCAATCAATCAATCAATCAATCAGAACATGAACATAATTACAAAATAACAAAAAAAACCCTCATGAAATTGTTACCATGTTGGAACATGTTGGGATAACTTGAATCTGTTCCCAGGCCATCATCACTCATATTTGGTTCCAGAATAAACTCTTTCTTATTCTCTTTAAGGTTATAACTGTGTTTTTTCAACAACACAGACCCTTGTCTGCTCAATCTGATGACCTATAGAGCCCAGGTGGCAAGAGCATTCTAAGCTCGAGTCCTAGAGGTAGCCGTCTCACTTGACTGAAGCTGGCAAGCACACACAGGGCCCAGAAAATGCTTGAAGGGATGACAAGGGCCTCCCAGCTCACAGTAAAGACAAATGGGTAGCCTCTGTCCCTCCCTGCACCCTTCATCACCCCGAGGCACAAACATGGAATCTCATAACACATTCTACCCAAGTTTTGAGAGCCTGTTGTGAGTCAAGTACAGGCACTATGGGCTTCCCAGAGTTGTTGAATCTAATCCTCAAGATCTTAAGAAGGCAGAGAAACTTGGACATGGTGCTGTAGGCCTGTAACCCAGCACTTGGGAGGTAAGGCAGGAGGATCAG